GTTGCTAGGTAGACGAAGGATAGGGACTGGGTTCCTGATTATAAGAACATGTTTGAGGCGATGTTTAGGGAGGGAACCAGAGACGTGGAGCAGGGTGAAAGAATGACGTGGCCTGTGCCACGGGAGCCAACCACGTGACTGGCAGATTCAGGATCTGTGACAGGGACTGTGCAGAAGAGGGAGAGTGCCAACGTGACAGAGCAAGAGAAGAGCCACCAAAGGTCAAGTGAAGGAAGGAATGACCAGACCCCATGATGGCCTGAATTCAGGAGTGAAGAGTGTGGCCTCTCGGCTTTTGAAGGCTTGCTCCTCTGTGGTCCCCTTGCCAGCCCAGCCATTGGTCCGTCCAAGCCCACTGGTACAGTGGCTTGATCCGGCACAAACCACCAAGCCTCCTGGCCGCTTAAGAGGAGCCGCCAAGCCCACGCAGCTAGCCTGGTGCCTCAATCCTCTTGAGACAAGCCTACCTGCCTGAGAAGCAAGCTCTTGGACTGAGGTCACCACTCCCAGGCCCCCTGTTGGCTTTGAGAGCCCAAGAGTGACAGTCGTTCTTCATTTGCAATCTAAAATTCCACCCCCACAGACTGGGCCCATTCCATTGGCTATAGAAGAAGGTCACCTGTGCTGCGTGTTGCAGGTGTCTGTCACCCCTGGGCCAGAAGCCCTTTCCTCCTGGGATACTGAAACAGAACACAGCCCCCGGCTGCTGCAGCCCAAGACAGAGATCGGGTGAGAATCGGCATACCTCCTAGAAGTCGGTGGGATAATGCTCCAAGACTGCCTTGTCTTTTCTTCCACCGTTGAGGGGGATTTTACTTTTCTGGGAGTTAGTACATTACATCGCTATCATTTTTTGTTGTTTTTCATGTAAAGTCTTTATGATAACAGTGTGATAGCACTAAGATACTGAGCTCAGACTCCTGGAGTACATTCCACGGCAGAAGGGAAGGGGGCGTTTCTGCAGCTGTCGGGAACTAAAACCTAAAATGTGGTACATGTAGCAAGCTTTTCAGGATTCTTTAGAGGTCCCTCTCTCACTCTCAGAGAGCCCCACCAAGATCACGGGGAGGCCGAGATGCAGACACTGACAAACGACAGCAGTCTATAAGTACACTGATTGTCAGTCACACGGGAGCTGGAACTTTCCATCGATAATGTCCCCCTTCTCCCCCTGAAGTCAACCAAAACAGACATACTGAAGGACGTGAGGGTCCTGGGTGGATTGATGGGGTTTTCCTACCTGGATTTTTCCTTGGAGGCCTGGGGGCGTAGTCACTATTCGTTGCCTTGCTACCTGGGGTTCAGTGGTTCAAAACCACCAGCTGCTCGAAGGGAGACAGATGAAGCTCTCTACCCCCAAAGAGGTATAGTCCGAGAGTTGGAATCAACTTGATGGCTTTGAGGGTTTGGGTTTTTTGTCCTTAAAGGAGCCCTGGTGCCAATATGGGTGAGGCGTTAGACTGCTGGCGATATGTTGGTAGTTCAAGTCCACCACCCTCACCCAGCGAGAAAGAGGGCACCGTCTGCTCCTGGAAAGAGTTGCAGGCTCAGAAACCCTCTAAAGCAGCGGATCTCACTCAATCTGTGAGTCAAGACCCCTTTGGCAGTCGAACGACCCTTTCACAGGGGCCACCCGATTTCATAACAGTAGCAAAATTACAGCGATGAATTAGCAACGAGAATCATTTTATGTTGGGGGTCACCACAACCTGAGGAACTGTATTAAAGGGTCGCGGCATTAGGAAGGTTGCAAACCTCTGCTCTAAAGGATTGCTATGAGCCCGAATTGACTTGGTGGCAGTAGGTGTGTTTTTGTGTGTTTGTTTGGGTCTTTGTTTGGATGTGGTCAAAGAGAAAATATACGTATGGTTTCACATGACCCTGTACCTGCTGATCCTTCAAGGGCAGCACAAACTGCCCAGGGACCGTTTCGTGTGGAGCCTTCCTCCGTCCAGCCTGCAGCCCGTCTTGCCCCTTCTGTCTTCCTTTTATCCTGTCAACTCGAAGATCATTGAAAGGGGCAGTGCTCCTCTGTCCTTGCGGGTCACTGAGAGTTTGACAAGCCTCAAAGCACTCGGTGCCATCAGCAGAAAGCATCATCTTTCTCACGAGAAGCCGCACTCGTGCTTTCCAGCTGCCGACCTTAGAGTGAGTCGCCCAACCTGTCACGCGCTGTGCGGGGTTCTTACTGGGCCAGAAGTAGAAGCCGCTAACTCCTGGGCCAAGTGGTCTCTGTTGAGACAAGACCCCGCGGAAGGGCATGTCCTGGCATCAAAGGCTCGGGAACCTTCTAGCAGGCAGGTAGTCAGAGATCGGACACTCTAATCATTAGGAACGGAGGCCCAGAGAAGAACGTGGCAGCGGCTGAGACCTGTGATCCCAAGAACTTACCAGTTGGTAGTGGTGCCAAGGTGGGGACAAGCCTGCAGCCCTCCCCACCCTGAGCCCAGAGGCTCCTGTTGGGCCACCTGCCTGGGCCTCCACTGTGGCTCCATCTCCTGGGGCAGCTCGGGACCCGCCCAGGAGGAGCTGGCGGCAGCGTCTTTGAGACGCTCCACGTCACGGGGTGCATCTACTCGGGCACCAAAACTCCGGTTTAACCAGCACACTGTGGGGATTTACTCTACAGGACAAGATGCTGGAGCCTGGATTTAATTTTTTTTTAAAGCCTCTTCAAGGTTCTCCTCATCAAACTGCTTTATGGTCAGATCACCCCCTAAGAAGTTTCTGTGTGTTGTGGTTTTCATTCCAAGCCTGGCTGAACAGAGACGCTGGCCACCAGTGATCACTGATAAACCAGAATTTCAACGGTGGTGTTTGCTTCCTAGTTTCTAAGGGTAGCTTGTCTGTTTTCCGGCCTGCTCCGTGGGTCACACATTGCCGTGACATTAAGTAGAACAAGCACAATAGGTTCCCGTTGTTCTCCTTCACAGGTAAAGCCTTGGAAAAGGCTGGGGGGAAAGAGTTCTTGGAAACAGTCAAGGAGCTTCGTAAATCCCAAGGCCCTTTGGAAGTTGCAGAAGGTGAGTATGGGATTGGGCCCATGATATGTAGCCTCAATGCTGTCTTGCCGTCACCAACCTCACCTGCTTCATGCACGTTCCACGAGTGAAATAAAATGTGCCATCGTTGACCGGGAAGCAGGTCGTTCGAACAGGCCCGTGGTTTGTTTCATAGGCTCTGCGGACTATAAAGAACCTGGACTATTGTGTAGTTGTAGAGGTTCACAAATCCAAAGCAAGTTTCCCTCAGCTAAAATCCAGATGCCAGCAGAGCTACATTCCTCCGGAAGACTCGGGGGAGAACCCCTTTTCTTGGCTCTTCCGGTTTCTAGAGGCTGCCTTTATTCTTTGGCTAATGGTTCCTTCCAAAGCTAGCAGCCTCTCACTCGCTGCCATTGAGTCTGTTCTGCCTCATAGCGACCCCAAGGAACTGCCCATGTGAGTCACGGACACTATCGCATCTTCCAGTCCCTCTCTGAATCTGCCTCACCCTCATAAGGCTGCTGTGATCATAGATGGTAGTCCCCAGGCAGCACCCTTGTGGCGCAGTGGGCTACACATTGGAGCTGCTAACTACAAGGTCCATGGTTCTAACCCAGCAGTCTCTCCATGGGAGAAAGATGAGGCTGTCTGCTACTATAAAGATTTACAGTCTCGGAAACCCAAAGAAATAGCACTCCTCGGTCCTGCAGGAACAGTTTGCTTTGGGGAAGTGAAGCAACTGGTTAAGCTGGTAGCCTGGAGGTGGGCCCTTTGCACTCACCCAATAGGTGCCTCAGAAGAAAGGCCTGACAGTGTGCTTCCAAAGGTCACAGTCTTGGAAACCTCACGCGGTGCAGTTCTGTTCTGCCGCACATGGGTCAGAACTGACCCAACAGCCAGCGGCTTGGTTTTTTGTTGCCTTATTTTGGGTTTTGGCTTGGTGATTGTATTTCGGGTTCACCCCCCCAATCCAGAAGAATCTCCCCATCTCGAGACCCTTAACTTCATCACATCTTCAAAGTTCCTGTTGCCATGTAAGGTAACATCTGCAAAGTCCCTTTTATCTGTAGAAGGTAACCGCTTACAGTTCTGGGAGTAGGAGGTGGACATTTGGGGGATCCTTCCTCAGTCTCCCGTAGCCGCGCTAGATGATCCTGCTGTGCACCTCTGCAGAGGAACGACTGTGAACAGGTAGCATAACCTAGTGGCAAGTTTGCTTTTCAGAGATGTACCTTATAAAGGTGACATGCTGTCCCATCAACACCAAAAGTGGTTCTGGTAAGTTCTGGTAAACTTACCTCCGAAGCCTCATCGGAAGTGCACACCATTGCCCAGTTAGCTTCTCTGCCCCTTCTTGGCTTCAGGAAATAACTGCCAGCATTTCTTTGTCACATCCTAGCTGCTGTCAGCCAATCCAGCGGCCTCGCTGCCAAATTTGTCATCCACTGTCACATCCCCCAGTGGGGCTCTGACAGATGTGAAGAACAGCTCGAAGAGACCATCAAGAACTGCTTGTCGGCAGCCGAGGACAAGAAGCTCAAGTCGGTGGCATTCCCACCTTTTCCCACTGGCAGGTGAGATGCGCTGTGCCAGACTGGGGGGGTTCCTATGTTTCTCTTGATGGCCTCTTCCCTGGGAGCCAGCTGCCCCCCGCCCCGCCTCCCCCCAGTATATTCATCGGAGGTGGGCCTTCCGTGAGCAAAGGCTGCCAGGACAGCCAAACATGTTGACTAGGTGGTATCGCAAGCCCAGTCTCCACCCCTCACACAGGGAAACAACAGACCAACAGGTTCTTGCGGAGGCTGG